AAGAGAGACATCGAAGAAGGGAGGAACACAAATGCAGAGGGTGCGACAAGTCTTTTTTTAGGAAGGACAACCTGACGAGGCACGTACAGAGTCGACACGAGGGGAAGACAACAGAAGACAAGCGGCAAGACGCGCCTGTAGCAGCAGGTGAGCTGAGTATTCATGCTTCGAAGGAAACACTCTCTTCAGAGAACGGGAATGCATCGAGGCCGACCGGTAAAGATCTCAGCATGCTGTTAAAGGAGAGGGAAAGTGAGACCTCGTCGGTATCGTCAGAATCAGAAGCTGAGGTGGAGGACTGCCCAACCCCAACGTTTCGGAAGATCCAGATGGGAAGGCCAATGCAGGGGTTGGATCTGCGACGCACTCTTCCGGGCACCCCTCTGCAGGTAGAAGAGAGGTCTTCCTCAACACAGTTCTCGGGGGGCAAGAAGCTCTTTCAGGAGGAAAAGGTACGAGAGTACAGCGTGGTTTTCCTGCATGGGTGTGAGAAGGAAAGTTCGCCGGCGCCTACAAAGTTGCATCACCTCGCATCGGATCAGTCGCTAGGTTCTCCGATGTCCGTACAGGAGCTGGAAAGGGCCCTGGTCGGCCGGGTTAACAGCATTACTGAAGTCACCACAAGACGATCTTTTTGTGACGGGATTCTGGTAGTGGAGGAAGAGATCAGGACCAATTACAGTATTAACTTGAAGGCTGGAGCAATCTTACCAGAAGTTTAACTCATACATGTATATCAATTCAGCTATCATTAATATTGCAATTACTTGGAAACCTGTTTTCTTGTATGTATTTTATGCTGCAATTGAAGTTCATGGCGGAACTCATTTATATTCCTCTTATAGTGATTAAATTTTCCTTACATGTAACTATTGATGTTGTTGTTGTTTTTAGTTTTCACGGCGCTATCATTGAAAATATGAATATTTACGCCAGAATGAATTCCTATGATCTATTCCACCAAAGATGATAATGCGTGTGTATATATTACTTGTACATAATTCTTACCTCATGTTTAACTGCAGGCTTATTCGAGGATAGTGGTACTGCGTACATACTGATAGTACAGGTTGAAATAGTTTAAATTTGGAAAGGACTTGATCTTTTCCCACTCTTGTTCTTGTACAATTATATGTAATTATTGCTATACGTGAAAGTATTCCAGCGGATTTTTCGGCCTTTAATTGCAAAAATGTATTTATAGATGTTGTTCGCAGGACAGAATGATTAATTGAAATAAATGTATAAAAGTTTTATCTATGTAATTTTGCCTCATTCTTGCCAAAAGCATGTATTAAGACGATTTTGTGTTTTTGGTCAGAGGACTGCCCAGACTTGGGGCGGGGTAGTGTAACGAAATCGTTATTTACATTACCTAGCCCTTAGAGGGCGTTAGTTATTGTAATTGTTTATTGTTATTGTAGATGTCGCTATGGTTACGTCGCGCACTGCGATGCGCGTACGTGGGGTTAATCTTGTGGGCAGTCTGTGTTGAGCTGCCGTAGAAGGAAGTTGTGCCTTAATTTGTTTGGAAGTTCAGATTATTAAAGTTCTTGGAAACATTACTTGATCTGTAAGTGCATATTATTTCCTGTGTTGGTAACTTAATTTAGTTAAGTGATTGTAAGCTGATCTGAGAGTGTCTGTTGCACAATATATTTTTGTGAGAACGTCGAGTACAGAGAAAGAGCGGGTTCTGACTGAAGAAGTGACGCTACCCAGAGAGTGAGAGACCCGTTTTCGTTACAATATCAATCAGTTACCACAGGTTAAGAATCAATATTTTTTGCATATAAATTCATATTTATTCAATATTTTTTCATATTCCTATCATATTATTTGAATAACATATACATGTACCTATACAAACCCAGTCAGCCTCCAATTTCATCTAGACAATGATCCTGAATTGTCTTTCTCTTCATACATGTATATCTTTACCTCATTTATAATACATTATATTTGTATTGCAATACAGAGAGGAAAGCAACAACACGCAAGCCATCCAAACTTTCAATAGAATTCTGGGCCCAGCAAGACAACATGTAAGAATTCTCCCTCTTCTGTGGGCAGTCAATTTCACTAAAGAATTTCAACCCTGTACCACATATTTATTTAAAAATAGGATTGAACCAAAAACAGATACAGATTTAGGTTTTAAATTTACTCATATTAAAGATATTCAAAGCTAAATTTAGCAATGAAAATGGAATTGAATTATTTTATAAAAAACAAGTCTTGAAAAAGCTCATCTTCAATTTCATCTTCATGATAAGCTGCAAAGCCTTTTGAGATTACAAGAATAATAAGAAAAAATTATTATGACCTGGTGGCACAGGAAAAATTGAAATATAAAGGTTGTTGCAGCAACTCATGACAGTCTATAAATGCATTCTGTATGGTGAAAGCAAGTTACACAACTATCAAGGTATTCTTTCATACTAACCAACATATTCATTCATTTTGATGGCAATATTAAACTTTATCTGCATCACATGATTTGAGCTTGGGCTCAGTTTTCTAAATATTGACATGATAATAGTATGTAAAAAAAAAAAAAACATGAATAAACAGTATCACATTTCATTATAAGACCTATTAGAACATCCATGAATGGTAAATCAAGGATGGAATATATTCATGATTCATGAAATTGAAAAGATACTTTAGTATGACCTTTGACAATACATTCTTGGGAAGAGCTTCTATTCATAATAATGTCATTACTGCTATAACAACGATAATATGCCAGGGTTTGAAGGGCTATCTTCAGCTGTTGACATGCATGCCCTATAATATCTGTTTTCATACTTGAGTCGTATCAACGATACCAACACCAGACTGCAAAAACATTAATTTCATTACCTCTATATCCTAATTAAGATATGACACAAAAAAACCCCGGCACAGCGGTTTGTTTATATGGACGAATACGCTTCACATTTCTGTAGACACAGCGGAGCTCACTGAATATGTGCAGGATCGTTGTTGCATGCAGTTGCAATACATTCAAATAATAATAAAATTTATGTGCTTGGTAATGCATGGGACCCAAAGCCTAGGACTTGCCCCTTGATATTTGAATACACCGACTGACAGTCATTACTGATCTCATGTTGCATGATGAAATCACATTTGAGATCAAATTGTTACACATTTCTTCAGAGCCTGTGAATGGATTTCAAAAAATGAATGACACTGAACTGATATAGACCAACAGGGTAATATTGAATTGATAATAACCACTGCCAAAAAAAAGCTGCATGAAATGTTAACATGAGTAAGCATAAAGCCCAAGTATTCTCAATCAAAATAATATAGTTTCATGAGAGTCAAGGATTCTACATTTTAGTACTTGGAAAGTACATTCATGCTTGCTGAAATTATTCATGTTTTAGGAAAATTGTTTCTTTGTAAACTTTACATGCGTATATCTTTCTTCTGGGCATTATGCTTCTCCAAAAAGAGGAGATACATGTAGAATTACATATTTCAGGTGACATTTCGTTATATTATATGACCTATATGTGCTATTGGTCAAAATGCTGTCACTAACCATCACTACAAGGATGAGAAGGGTGAACTACATGTCAACATCACGCTCCCAATAAGACACACCAGCTCATAGCCTTCGCTTGACAACTTACAAATATAATTTAATTATTCCCAATAAAATCCATGCTCTCATCTACCGAAAAACATTTTACAGTGGCTGCCTCAAAGACATAGAAATACATCCCTCTTTCCACCGTCACCAGAAAATTAACCCGTCTTGCCTATTTCAAAAGATCCCTTATTAAAACTACCGGTAAACATTCATTGATTTCAAATATTGATTTAGTTTGTATCATTGCATATAAATGGAAGTTTAGATTGAACAAGGTTCCCCTCTTAAAAACATTTGAAGTAACAATTATCATCGATTTTAAAATGGTAAATTACAGCCCTACTTTCACATTTGAAGAGCTCTCCGAATACCGGTACTGCTGAGATTTGTGACGTCGCGCAAGGAATAAAAGTAGCATTAAAGCAGTTGATGTCCCATAACAATGCACACTCTTTCAGTGCCTGTTTTGTCATCTCCTCTTCACTTAGTTCTTAATTCGCCAACTTCATTCTAACTGTTTGATCCGTTGCCTCACTCTTAATTTAGGATATGGTTTTATTTCAGTAAAAAATGCAGCGTTTTATGACAACAAAGGATTTAGTCGTAGCTTCACTATGGATTTTAAGAAAGACGCCATTGTACATTTAGCTGCATACACCATGCCATGTTTCAATCAGGAACAAACACTGTCCTTTCTATTACTCGACAGGTTTTTCATTCAAAAGTAGGCTGATATCCAATGGTTTCTTGAATCGATCAATTAACCTTGACCCGAGTGTCTCTAAGCAAAAGATTAAAATCATCAGTACCATATATCAGCATCACTTCCCTTTTAAAATGGTGTGAAATACGTTCGTGTTTAAAATCAATCAAAATATGTTCATTCGTTAAAGATACTATGTCCCTTTTGCAGCCAACTTCAAATTCTTTGCAGGAATTATGAATATGTCATGTATGCCCTATCTGTGAAATTTAAACATTAGCAGTGTCCTTATATTCAAATTATGCAAGGAAACCCGTTTACTTGCTAGACTTTACTGTCAGACACTATTGAGTGACTGCATGACTGGCTTTTTTTCTTCATCTTTGGTAATAACATACATTAAATGAGCTGTAAAGGGTACATGAGCATTTGTCTACATCAATAACCCACTTTTTGTAATGGCCAAAATCAAACTGATTGAATCTTTGCGCAGCATAAAACGTACGATCATTTGGTACAATGCATGGTTTGGAAAATCAGACTATTACTTACTGGCTCTATAGCTCCTAAGTCGATTTGACAACTAATAGTCGTTATTTTCCCATTTTCAAGCCCCCCTTTTTTTAGTTCTAAATTAGTATTGTCTTTCAAATACAGTTGGAATTTAACCTTTTCATTTTTTTTGCCTGCAAATGGGACATAGTACCTTCAAAGGATATGATCTGCTTATGTAGGATTAGACCCCAATTTGACGTCATCCACACATTCCTAAATTTTCTGGCGGTGCACGTGTATATCCCAGATCCTGAGAGGTACTTTTATTTGTGTTAATTTGTTTAATTATTCACAGTTAATTTCAAAGTTTGATACCACTGTCATCTGTAAGCTTCCTGGTTTTCTAGTGATACATTATTTGTCATATTTGTGACTTTCTTACAATGTCTACCGGTACTTTAAACCCTACTTCTTCCCAGTAACTTACTGTAATTTACCTATTTTTACGAGTCTATGTATTTCATGTTTCTCTTCACATTCTGTAATTCTATAAGCGCTAGTGGTAAAAATTTGTTAGCAAACCTAAATGACCGTCTTTATCATCATTATTATCATCATTATTCGGCACAAATAAAACACATATTATCTTACAACAACACAAATGATGTTGTTAAAATAAAATTGAGAATGGAGAGAATGAACGACAGATATGAAATCAAAATAAACATATACAAAACTACATGGCCTTTCTGGAACCAGAAGATAAGACTTTCTTTCAAGAGAATTTAAAGTTCCAGCATGTCATGGCAATTTCATATATATATATTATCTTTCATCTGTACAACTTTACAATATTGATATGTTTCATTTATACTGCTGTAATATATAAAATGACTGAAGTTCTTAAGGCCACTACACTTACATGTAACAGAGTTTGACTGCTAAAAACAGAGAAACGGAATGCATTGATACTTACTGTGACAAGTCAGAATATACTTACCTGATCACAATAAAATAATATAAAACTGAAACAATAACTCTCACAGTACCTAACAACCATTACAAAACTTGCATCATTTATCATTATATCAATTAGGATACCAGATTTACTTACAAAGTATCGAAATGAATAGTGTATTAATTAAGAAGATTCAATCTTATGGCTACCCAGAGTAATGTATCCGCAAGTTTTATCATACATTAACTATAAGATTTGTCCATGACCTAGCATAACTATTGCATACATGTTACCAGGACTGTTCCTTTATCTTTAGAGGGGTGAATTACAAGTACGTCAAAGACAATCCTGCCATTTCGGCTCCGGGATACCCCTCTTCAAATGGTACAGTCTAAAGTACCTCACACTGTCATACCAGAGGGACATGTACATACTACACTGTACGTACATATAAACAAACCTTATAAAGCAATACATATTAATGACTCTCGTGATAAGTTCATATTATGCGCTCCTTTGATATTGACACAATACCATAGGTCCCATGAGTAACAATCCAGATCATCCGTCTTGCATTAATACCATAGGTCCGTCCCATGAGTAACAATCCAGATCATCCGTCTTGCATTAATACCATAGGTCCGTCCCATGAGTAACAATCCAGATCATCCGTCTTGCATTTCAAGAGAGGAGGATGATGGTGATAACAGCCATGCATATTGCAACCACTGAAACCCCCTTCGCTTTAAATGGGACTGATCTTAGTGAAAAGGACGATGCATCAAGCAGACCATTCCATTATTCTTACAAGGGTATCCTCATATCACTTGAGGGAGGTAAAATGTCTATAGTTCAAAGTTGACCCATCATTAAAAAAACTTGAAGCTTTCATTGTAATAGATCCTGGGTTTCCTGAGAAGCTGCTTTCTGAGGGCTGGAAGCGGTGGCAGAGACCTGGGAAGGGGCCAAGGAGGGGCTAGAATGACCCGTTGATGCTGTATCGATACCATTCTGATGGTTGCTTAGCTTACCCTTGGTGGTAGGGGTGTGCTGAGGGGACGGGGTGGCGTTCTTTGCACTCCTGGCTTTTTGGGCCTGAACTCTCTTCAAGAGCGGATTGTCATAGATCCAACATTCACCATCTTCATGGAAAAACTACAGATTTGTAGAAAAAGAAAAGAAAAAGAAAACATCATTCATGGATGATAATACCAAGAAGACAAGAATAAAAAGAAATAGTGTGCTACAGTCATTATGCAAGAGGCAAATGCATGTACAGTCCATTATTAAATTGTTCTTAATACTATAATGATACATTTCAACTTGTGCTATTGTCAAAGTTATTACAACAGTTTATGATTATATATTTTCAAAAGTTTTCTCTATTTGTACATTCAAGCCAATCATGGCAATTGACCACATTGTGTGGTTTGTCTTAATTAGAAAGCCTGTTGACCTCAGACTCTGCAGAAAAAATGAGCTAATCAAAGCACACTTTATTTTGTCTTGTTAACATTCCCAGTTATAAATTTTAGAAGAACCATTATTCATTGTTTCAGTCAAAAACTGGATGAACCTACATGAATATTCATAGAAGCTAATGTCGGCCGCCAAAGCTGCCAAGTAAAAAGGGCAAGTTTAGTGAAGAATAGTTGAAATAGATTTTATCTCCATTTATTAGATGTAAATCTTAGATATTTAGCAAAGATCTTGTCCCTCTAAAATTGCATGACCCCCTCCCCCCCCCCCCCCCCCCCCTCCAGTGGTTTCCGTCTTTGAAGAGCTTCAGTCATGATCATTTTGAGAAAATGATGTTGTGAATGAATTAAACATTTATAATCTACAGATGTAATGTTGTATTTAAAAATTTCAACACATAAGGACCTTGATGCCATTTGATCAACAAGGTACTTCATGACATGAAAGGGTAACTTCTTAATACTGAACGCAAAAATATAAGAACACAGACAAAATGGGAGAAAAATAAAGCCCTGATAGCCTTTATGACTGAAGTTGTTCTTACTTTGGTATCCCACTTGGTTCCTTCTGCTAATCTCTCCTTAGCCTCTCTTCTCTGCCTTTCTTCCAAGAAATGCTTGGCATCTGTAGCTGCTTCAATTTCCTGTGTCTTGAGATTGCTTGTTACATCTTTCCACAGTCTACCAAACAGAAGTGAATGTAAGAGGGTTGCTTATTGAGCATGGGCTGGAACAGTATCAAGTGGCCCTTTTTTTTTCCAATTAATTTTGTATTGATTTAATACCAGTAGCATTTATATGAAACCAGAGTAGAATTAGATGATATACTAGCTATCATACATGTATGAAGGCTCTGAAATCATTTTTTTTTTCACATGGAAGACTAAACCATCGAAAAATTATCAATATCAACATTACTCAGGCTATTAATTTTAATAAATTTCAAGCAATTAGAATGTATTTTAAAATAAGGTAAAAAAATAAATGAAAAATTAAATTAAAGGGTTAAATGATAAGACGAGATATTAGGAGTTTACAGCATATATAAGAAATGAAAGATGCGGGGAAAAACTGAAATGAAGTTAAAGTAAAAAAAGTGGCAGAAAAGAGAAAAGGATATCAAACATGAGAGACAAACTGTAAATATCAAGATGAAAATGAAAAGGAAAGAAAAACACCATTAAGATCAGTATACGTGTAGGAAGAGAAATGAAAGAATGAAACAACAAGAAACTGCTTACTTTCTTGATTCATAAGGATCTTGATTGTCAACAGGTCGCACTCTTTTTCTGTTCACCTTCATCTCTTTGGTATCCACAAACACAATAGGTTCCTAAAACATGAATAATGACAAATAATTACATCTACACTGAAATTACAATCACATTAAAATTTGTCACCTCCAACCACACCACCACCCTTTTCACCCCATCCACCCAACAACTACTACTACCACATACTCACATAAAACCTACCAGCTCCATTGCCACTTGCATTATCACAACCACCATCATCACCGCCACCAATATCACCATCACCCACCTACCTAACCAACCATCCAACACAAACTACATGTACTCATACCACCATTACACCCAACCGCTCAGCACTTTCATACATTGTATGTAATGTACCACAACCACCACCAACCACCCATCCAACACTCACTATCAACATCACCACCACCACTACAAGATTTGAAGGTACTTACCCCTGACGCTCCTTTGGTAGTCATTACACCATTCCACTCCCCTTCCACTGTGACGAAAGGCTTGTAATCTGATACATGCCTGTTGGTCAAGAAAACATAGAAAAGGGTGATACCCTTCTCAAAGAAAATGGTGATACCCGTCTCAAAGCAAACCAAGCAGTGAATATAACATAGTTTTTACAAGAACATGAAAAAACTTTAGACATACATGTATATGGACTATAAATCTTTATATACTTCACTTTAGAAATCCAGCAAAATCAGAAATCCATTCCCATAAAGAAACGTAAAATGCCATAACCGGTTAATAGTCCAAGAGTGAGATCCCTCAAAGTTACCATGAAAATAGTAAATGTTGCTGCGATACCCATTGGTTTACGTGTAAAAATTTTCTTTGTGGAATGCGCATTGGTGTACGTAGTAAAATGTTCTTTGTGGAATGCGCAGCGCGGCTACCATACAGTTTTTGTGCAATTAATTTGATTGCTACATTTGCACACAGTGCAGACGACCGCCGATCTCGATTGTAGGCCTGGATCTACATGTAATGACGAGATGATGCCCCCTTGGAAATATGGAGATAAATCTGCTCTTTCATGTGACACCTCGTTTTTTTAGTATCACCTTCAGGATCACAAGCACTAAAGGTTTGAATCTCCATTTGTAAATATTTGTTTAAACCAGTAATGCACGTAGACTGCATAGGGATATATGCATGCAATCTCAATGGGAAGGATTTTAGCCCACAAAATCAAATGAGCCTAGAGACCTGCAAGTTATAAACACAGACCTTGATAGCATAAACAAACTTGATTACCATGATTACATATTCTATGACCCTTTTTTCGGTATATAAAAGAGATAATGACTGCTTTAATATTCCACAGCAGTCATTATCTCTATTACAAATTTCAAATAGCAACTTGTTCCTTAAGATTAAGTTCTTATTACATCAAGACTTATATCAATTGTTGGGCAGGAAAAAAAAATTGTTTCCTTCTATCATCAATAGTGATCTGTCAAAATGACACATTTGTTTACCCCTATCAACTAAAAACAAAATGTCTCTTCAAGTTCTGCATTTTTTGGTCAAATGCTTTATTTCACTGTAGCCTTCTGCCCTATAGTCTCCAAATACTTCCTGCATAAAAAATATCTAAAACATCTAATAGGCAAACAGAAAATTGGGACTGTATAGCATCCTCCTACATTATACCAAAATAATACAACTTGTCATGGTAGAGTTTGTTGAAGATCAAGAGCACAACATATAGCCATACTCACTTTATTTCTGCAACAACACGATGCTTCTTGCCACCGTAGAAAGGCTTGGTTTGAAACGAGACCAGCGCAGAGTAGCCTGTCTTGGCGCAGTTGATGTTACACTTGCCCCCAAGCTCAAACCATGGTATCGTAAGGATGGAGCGACCATAGCCATTAGGGAATGTCATGATATACTCCTCCTCATGCTTCAGGTCTGAGCAACATGCTGATGGTAGATAACATTTATATCAATAATGTGAACTGAGAAGACATTATACAGTAGGCTGGCGGGTGCACCATGCGAGAGAGAGAGGGTTGAGGGTCGAAGTTTCGAACACGACGGATAGTCAACCTGTTCGAAACGTCGAGCCACTCATCCTCTCCAAGCGCTATAGTTCTCCTTAGAAATATAAGCTAAGAAAGATAACAAACAGTCCTTTTCAGGACTACACACCCCCAAGAAAGATTACCGAGTCAGAGTCCTTTCCAGGACTCCTCAACCCTCTTTCTCTCCCATGGTGCACCCGCAAGCCTACTGTATATCTACATCACCATGCAAGCCGACACTTACAAGCAGCATGAGAACACATTATAAATCAGTTGCTAGGCATACTATTACAATAGCAATGAGAACTAAGAGAGATGTATCTTTAAAATATGATAAAACTACATCATCTGACATCGCACTTCCTATCAAAATAGTCAACTGATTGATGAAAGCAACTATTAGCAATATATTCTATTTTAATTTCCTTATGCTTAGAGATTTCAGTGGTAAGTAATATATAATATATAAGTAACGCTTTTATTATCATTATTATTATCATTATTATGTTACCGTTTCTAAGGAAAAGACAGCCCTTAGCAACTAAACTTGCAATTATAACTCATTTCAAAATGTTGACTCTGGAGCAGTATAACTTTTTTTTAAAGAAAAGCAGTGAACTTACAATTTGGATATATTATTAACCATATTGGTTGGCAATTTTCTAGAAATTTTTAAGTCATTTGTGATCATAATTTTAAAATTATGGAGAAATAGGTATTTTAGGCACGATTCATATTTTAACACAGAGTTAATGCCCTTATGGCTCTGACCAGGCCAAATAATCCAGAACTTTTGCTATTCCAAATGCTTGAACATGTAGTGATTTCTACATTTTCCAACCCCTGCACTATTCCAGATAACCCCTACCTCAATCATCATTATAACCTATCTGTAGATGGACGTACCTTGGCCAACCATCTCAACACCTATTGACAAGCCTAGAAACTTGGACTTGGTCCATATATGACCACTGATGGACATTTGTTTGTCAGGACACTCAGCATAGAAGGCAGAAACTAAAGAAAAATAGAGAGGAGAAATTGAATTAAGGTTCTAGTTAACATTCTTCATAATTTCATATCATCTGCCAATAGCCAGATAGGGTGAAGTCTACTTCTACTTCTCTCTAAGTACTTCTAATTCCCTTCTGACTACAAGCAGATGATGTAATTGCTTCACTGTGAGCTTATCTGTATAAGATTTTCATTTCTGTATTGTGCAAAGTCAAAACTATTAATGGAGCATATTACAAAGTATACAACTTTATCTCAAATCCTAAATCTACATATAAAATACTTGTAGCTTGGAAAAGTGAATGGGTTTGTTGCTTCATAAGTTTTCTTTCAAAATGTATGTGCTTTTCACTTTCAATTCGCCATTAGAATTATTGGATGAACTATCACCTACCAAGGCGCTTATCCATTTATTCAATAAGGATAATAATTAGCACCGTAAAAATTAAGACAATATTAGACTTGAAATAAAAAACAAGCAAAATACTACAATACATGTACCGTATTTTCCGGCATAAAGGCTGCAGTATTTTCGGAAGAGAAAATATCAAAAAGTCTGGGTGCGGCCTATGCGCAACAACAGTAAAAAATCCTCGGTCAAAACAGCCCGTATTAATAATAATAATAGTAATAATAATAATGCAACATGTCTGTCAAAAATGACACTCCAGGCGCAGCTGTGTGGAAATTGTATAATTATATTCGTACATATGGTACTACCAGTTAATGTACAATGGTACAGGGCATTTCTAGAATAACTCCACACATCTTACCGACAGTTTTATGTTGCATTGTTGACATGTAGACGAAAATAAACTTCATAACTTATTTTTCAAGCAAAATCTACCGGTAGATCTACATGTATATCTAAGTTTGCGCCATTGCATCGGTAAAAGTAGGGACCGTTACGGAGATACTGTGCATCCGGACGAAGTCTGCACCAAGTCTATCCATTTCAGGCAATTTTGCATTTAATATATCGTGGTAGGGGTATATATACATGTAGGATACCAAATCTGCCTGCGATATAGTACTAGCCTCAAAATCGATGAAGATTTGCTAAATTACGATTTTTTAGGTAAACATGACAGGAGGGTCTTGCAGAAAGCAGAACGCCGCCCTTCCATAAAGTGGCCGAAAATGACAAATATATCTGAATGGACTAACTTTGATGAAGATGCTGCATATAATGTGAACATGTTAATGCATGGTACTGTTGAGATGAAGTTGAGCACGTATGAGAAGTTTGTTCATGCTATAGCAGTCCAGCATTTCGGTGCTAAGGACGTGCATATTCACAAAGAACCTTACTTAAATAGGAGGAAGCGTCGCCTCGAGGAACTTCGCAAGCAACGTAGGGATCTACGTAAACGACTTCGTGATGCGCCTGATGATCAGAAAGAGGGTCTGACAGTTATTGGAGATCAGATACACAATGAGGTTTTGATTTTAACGAGGAAGGAGAGATCAGCAAAGAAGAGGAGGGAGAGAAAGAGGACAAGGAGCAGATTCATGCAAGACCCTTTCAAAACTGCTAAGAGTCTACTTGAACCAGTCTCGAAGTCAGAGCTAAATTGTTCAAAGGATGAGTTGGATAGACATCTTCAGCAAACATACTCAGCTACTTCAAATGAGGAGTTTGAACCTTGGCAGGACAACATTCCCCCAGATCTACCGTCCGAGCCTTTTGATGATGCGCTACCAGCTTTTCAGGAGCTCAAGAATGTTCTTCACAAGACCAGGAACGCCTCTTCTCCCGGACAAAATGGGATTCCCTATAAGATGTACAAGAAATGCCCGCGACTTCTTAAGATTATTTGGAAGCTTATGTTGGTTGTTTGGAGAACCAAATATATTCCCGTACAGTGGAGAGTTGCCAAAGGGGTATATATTCCGAAGTCAGCCACCCCAAATGAGAAGACAATTACAGATTTTCGCCCTATTGCCTTATTGAATGTTGAGGCAAAGATGTTCTTCGCCATTCCTGCAAAATGTCTGGAAACCTACATGCGAAAGAACGGTTATCTCGATACTACAGTACAGAAGGGAGGTGTAGGAGGTCATCCTGGCGTATGGGAGCATGTTGCTACGCTTTGGGAAGTTATCAAGGATGCAAAAACTTCTCAAAAGAACTTGGTTGCAATATGGCTGGATCTCGCCAATGCTTTTGGATCAGTTCCTCATGCAGCTATTGCTTTCGCGTTGAAATGGTACCATCTGCCGGAGTCCTTAGTTTCACTGATTAACAATTACTATGTTGGGCTTTACGCTAGATTTTCTGTCAAGGACTGGAACTCAGAATGGCAGAAATTTTCAGTAGGAATTTTCATGGGGTGCACCCTTTCACCAATTCTTTTCGTCATCACTTTCAATCTCTTGAACGATTTTCTAAAGTCGACGCCCGCAAAGCAATATCATCTGAAGAAAAGGGACTTCAATGTTCCTGTGATGATGGAGTATATGGATGATATAACTATCGTTACTGCTTCGGTTGAAAGTGCTGGTTCTATACTTTCCAAAGTGAATGACTTCATGGATTGGAGCAAGATGAGGATTAAGCCAGTGAAGTCGCGTTCCTTAGTAGTGCATGGAGGCAAAGTAAAACATATCGAGCCATTCGCCGTCGACGGCCAGACGATACCCGGAGTACATAATAAGCCGGTGAAGTTTCTAGGACGTCTGATTGATGGGAACCTTAAAGACAATGTTGCTCGTCAGGACATGATGGTCTCGCTTGGGAGATGGCTACATACTATCGACAAGTGTGTTTTGACTGGCGTCATGAAGTGCTGGATATATCAATACCTAATTGTACCAAGAATGCAGTGGAAACTTATGATATATGATGTACCAGTCTCACAGGTAGAGAAGATGGAAACTCTTGTCTCAAAGAAGCTACGTCGCTGGCTGGGAGCAAGCAAGAACTTAACAAATATAGCACTCTACTGCCATCAGACAAAGTTGCGTCTCCAGTTAGAAGGACTCACGACTACAATGAAGAAGACTGTGGTGAATGCGGCACTCCAGTTGCGACACAGCAAAGACAATGTTGTCACAAGTATCAGGCCACAGTCTCGTCATGGTCACAAGTGGGATGCTGAGAAGGCAATATCTAGAGCGGAGGACAGTTTGCGGATGGAGGACATTGTAAGAGGTCAGGTTGGACGACGAGGGTTGGGGGCTGGTCAATTTCGTAAACCTGTAAGGAAGCTCACTCAACGTGAAGTAAGAACAGAAATTAGCGAACTAGTCGTCAAGGAACATGATAATTTGAATTTTGTAAGAGCTGTACAGATGCCAATTCAAGGAGCTTGGTCGTCATGGGAAGGAGTGCAGCAAAAGAAGCTGTCCTGGAGGAATATGTTTGATACCAGCCCTAAATTGCTGCAGTTCATGATTGGTTCAACATACGACACTGTAGCATCACCAGCAAACCTAAAGCGGTGGGGATTAAGTGAAGACGATGCTTGCAAGCTTTGTCAACAGAAAGCAACGACTACTCATATTCTTGCTGGCTGCCCGATAGGTCTCCAACAAGGCCGGTACACTTGGCGTCACAACCGTGTGCTGGGTATGCTTTGAAGACGAGGTTATCAGAACACAATCAAAAGCCGACCCAAACACAAGCATCCTTTATCCATTTCGTCAGGGAAGGAGAGGCTACAAACGTTTCAGGCAAAAGGTCTACAGGAAGGCAGAGGACTTGCCTTGATGGAGCTAGCGATTGGAACATTCGAATCGACTTGGGGGAGAAGTTGATTTTTCCTCCAGCCATTGTCGTGACAAACCTACGGCCTGATGTCGTAATTTGGTCCCCTACTTCAAAGAGGGCAATTCTTCTGGAGCTGACGGTACCTCATGAGGCAAATATGCAGCGAGCTCACGAGAGGAAGAGCAGGAAATACGAAGAGCTGCTCCTAGAGGCTGAGCAGAACGGTTGGAGAATTGAACTTTGGCCAATAGAAATAGGTTGTCGCGGTTTCTCCAACAACACACTTCTCCGGGCTCTCGGTCAAATTGGTGTGGGCGCAAGGCTGAGAAACAAGATAGTGTCACTTTCTTGCTCATGCGCAGTAAAGGCGTCATTTCATCTCTGGCTAAGGAAGGATGAGCGAGAGTGGACACGCCCTATATCTACTTAATCAGACATGACAACGCGTCGTTGCTACATATGCACAGCATCACAAGCTGCGCAGTTTTGAAGCAACAACATAGACGCATTATTCAAGAAACAGGTTAGTTTGAAATCCGTCTGGCCAGATGCAGACCACCTTATGTGTGCCTGCATCAGAAACGGATTTAATTTTTAACATCTGTCACATCTGGCCACTGATGAAGAGTGCGACACTAACCTGTTTTCTTTTTGTTTATTTTTATTTGGACAAGTCATCGCCCTCCGCCTGCCGCATGGAGGGTTTTTAGGCCGTTTTTTGGTTTTTCATATTCATATTTTCCTGTAAATTTTATAAGAATATTGATGAATTTGGTATCAGTTTGTAGAAAAAATAGTGTTCTACAAGAAAATTACGATTATTCTGTTTGGTCCATTAGGATTTTTTTTTTTTTAGCCTCTACAAAATGTTGAAGTTGGGGTACGGCCTATCCGGCGCTTGGTCCTTATTGCCGGCAAATCCGCTCTTCGCTCCAAAAGGCCTGTCAATTACAAAATGAGGGACTACTTTGACTTACTTGGTGGATGATGGGATACTTGCTCAGCCATGAAGGACACTTGGTCTGATCCCGCCCACGGTACTGGACCTTCTGGCACTTCATTCTACATCAGGGAACAAACAACAAAAAGGTACATCACGTGACAACATTCAGATTTGCTTTGATAGACTACTTCTGATCACTGGCCTTCATATCCTATTCTCTTATCAATCTTCACAAGCCATGTTATTCTGGTCTCTCTTCATCCAATGAATTCTGTTCAAAATCAACGGTAAATTTTTGGCAATCACTTTTTTTGTGGACAAATTTTTGTTGTTAACAAACTTGTTTTTGCTTGTATTATCAAAGTTGATACCAGGCATGATCGATATCAGATTTCTTCAAGTACTTTAGTATTTATTTTGACCTTTCATCCCAATATTCCAGCAGTACTTCAATGTATTACACAATTTCTAAGCACATACTGGTTCACTGACTTCTACTACTCACCTGATGTCCCATTAAAACTAAACTATTTTTGTTAGACTGGAGTCACTGAATATATTATCACCAAATGTAGTTTATAATCATGAGTCCTTTGACAACTCACAAAGCATCTTACCAATCGTCTCATCTATCACCCTCGATGTCCCAGTAACACTAAAAAGTTTATCCTACAATAGGGTTGTACAGTTTCTTAGCAAACAAGGTTTAGTGACATTAGTCCTTCTACTACTCACATTAACTACTGTACATGTAGGGTATTATACAATATAAATGTACATGCAAGTCCTTTTAGCACTCACCTTGACTGATTCGGCTGGACTATCACCTTTGAGATCCCAGTAACACTGAAAGGTCTCCCCTAAGATAGGGTTGTATGGTTTCTTGGCGACAGAGCTTTGCCTACCGGCATGGAAGGCAGAGAGGTACCACCGCACAACCTGGACCATTCTCTCCCGGGGGTTGTCAATGTCTGAGATACTAGGAGGAGAGGATGCATAAAAAAGAGATGATTTGTTTAATACTATAAGTGCCTTTCCCTCAGAATGTGAATGATTGATGAAATTTTAAAGAACAGAGAAATATCAAAGATCTCTCTTTATATCTCCCTTCCACTGTATCTCTTTTAAAATTCTCTTTAGGTATCTCTTTAGGTATTCTTTTTACGTAGCTCTCCCTTTCTTCAGTATATCTGTATTTCACCATCTCTATCCATTTCTCTCTTTCTCTCCCTTGATTTATATCTCTCTGTTGATATCCCCCCCCCCTCTTTCTCTTTCTCTCTCTCTCTCTCTCTCTCTCCTTCTCTCTATCTCTCATTATCTCTCTCTTCCGTGCAACTGAGTTGGTTTAAGTCACAAATAGTGACCTCATGTACACAGTCAACATATATGTACTTAATGATTATCAATCCTCTCTTTTCTCTCTCCTATATCTTCTACCTATATCTTCCTCTTTATATCTAGTTTTATATTGGTAAATCTCTGCTTTTTCATGACTATCAGATGCATTACTCATCAAGATCCCTTACTCTCTCTGTCAACGACCAGATAGATATACATGAATATTTCTTACTCTGCAAACAGTTCTGGATGTGCAAAGAAGTCCGCATACATCTCCAGTAACGACCTTGTCTCTAAGATGAAGGTAGGAAGAACAACTTTGGTGAGATCCATTCCAAGCCGGACTTGAGAAAGAAGATGTGTGATGATGCTACCATGCTTCTGTAAGTCAATAGCTGCAAAAGACAGTTTGTATTCAATGTTATGACTCCATTTATTGATATATTAAGCATATGTGAATACTCTCTTTTATAAATATTATCATTTCTGCCAATCTACTTATGCAGTCCCATGTACATTGTGTACATATTTTCAAATGACCTACACTGAGCATCATTGTCATGTTCATGTGTGATTCTAATATTTTCAGGATTTTTAATATAATCTGGCACAATCAGATTTTGACATGCCAATTTCAAAAGAATGTTCTTCGGTGAAACGTGTGTGGATTAATACAATCAAAGTATCATTTAAAGCATATTACTTCTACAGCTCATAGTTTGCTCACACTAACTGTTTTTGAAAGAAAAAAATTGGGGGAAGCACTGTATATTGACAAATATTTTCCAAATTAATCTATACATGTACTTTCCAAGTCCAATAGGTCTTGCACTCTGTATTACAGCACACATGATGTATCGTCCCCTATAATGAACTATGTTTTCTCTTCATTGCTGTCTATTATGTAGTATGTTAACCACCTGATTCAGAGTTTGTCCAGCAATAAGTCTAGGCCAACGCTCCTTCAAAATCCCTATGCTGAAAAGATTTTTGTTGGCAGAGCCCAAAATGATTCTCTTCAATGTACTTACAATCTTCATCTTCAGGACAGCTATCTTGCCTTGCTCTGTTTTGCATCAATCTCTCCTCAACCTTCTCTGGGTTTCTATGGAATACTCTGAAGGAATCACGAGGATGGGATTATTAATATATTGAGAATAACTGTTTATGGGCTAGTTCAAGCTACTTTGTCCCATACGTTATCAATCACATGAAAGATTTGAGTATACATGTATCTCATCATTGTATTGAGTTAAAGGGCAAACTAGAGTTTAGATAAAATATAATGTGAAATGTGAAATGGCATGTACATGATTGATGTTAATTGATGTTCTGAACTTCTTGATACTAAGAAATGGATGGGACATCAAATGACCAAATGACTTTGACCTGCTCTTTTATGTACACATAGCATATTTCTGGTTAGGAGAAAGACACCATTTTAAAGGTGCACAATTGCTGAGCCAACAATGGCATTTGCATTCTACTAGCTTTCCATTCCATTCCAGGGTTGAGAGAAGCAATGTAGATCAAACATGTCCAGATGAACCAACTCAACTAATACATCTCTACTCTATTGGGTAGTGGGAAAGCATCTACCGGTAATTGACAAACTAATTAATCACTTTATAGGGATCTCCAAACATATCGTCTTGGACATGTAAGATCAATTAAAGTTTATATAAATTGCACTACATCCATGACACTTTTGTCATCTAAGCCTTATTCGATATATCCAATATCTTGAAATCAATCAAAATTAAAATTGAAATATGATCACGGTACTGGTCATGAGACAAAAAAATTGATAAATGTTAAAGACCGTCTATCCGAACGAAAAAATAAAAATGGATAAATCTTATATTAACGGAAAGCTTATAAGCCATAGATTACAATAATATCAATCATATGCCATTTTAGTGTCTGTCAGAGGAGCATCAGCTCTCTGAAAACTCAAAATCTAAAGCTTTGGAAATCAGAAGTTGTTGACCTAAAAACTAGCTATTGACTTGATGAAATCATTTTATGTGGAGTATGCATATTCAAAATGACTTTGCATTAATGAAGCACAGCTCATCCCCTCAGCTATATAGGTGAACCGATCGGGTTCACATGTTATGTCGTCACTGTAACTTTGGCAAATTTGACCCCTGTTGACCCTTAATTTGCTTTTGTGCAATAATAAAAGGGTGAATACTTTTTATTCCTTTATATTTGTATTCTACATTCATTCAATTTTCCATTCATATCAAGTTGTATTTTCATCGGATAGGGTCTTTAATCAAAATGTTTTGTTTTATTTGTTTAAGTTGTATTATACTAGTTGATTTGGTCTTCTAATCTTTCACACATTACTGTTTAATATTTATATTCATAGAGACACCTAGCCACCTGGCTTTAATGAAAATATGCATGCATTTTAAATTCTCCATTAGATTAGATAATGTAAATAAAACCACAACCGTATACAAAGCATGTCTTTGATGACAAAAAATAAGAAAGTTTAGAACTGACTAACATCTAATAAAACTCATTTAAACTACATGTAATTCCTACTCCTGTAGAAAACTATAAACTCACAAACATTGATATCAATACAGTAGGGTTTGTTCATCCAACAAACTCAGCATTCTAATGATTCCTACATTTTTCATTACTTGGTTTATAGCCCGTTGTGGGCCACTAGGTTTACGAACATTGATCATACATTGTAATCGGCTCTCTAGAACCCCATTACGGGTTAGGTTTACACACATTGATCATACATTGTAATTGGCTCTCTAGAACCCCATTACGGGTTAGGTTTACAAATATTGATCATACATTGTAATCGGCTCTCTAGAACCCCATTACGGGTTAGGTTTACAAACATTGATCATACATTGTAATTGGCTCTCTAGAACCCCATTACGGGTTTGGTTTACAAACATTGATCATACATTGTAATTGGCTCTCTAGAACCCCATTACGGGTTAGGTTTACAAACATTGATCATACATTGTAATTGGCTCTCTAGAACCCCATTACAGGTTTGGTTTCTTTAGTTTCACTGTCAAATTGGATTTCTTCCATGGCAAACAACCAATGGAACGCACCTACCTGTTACATGTATGGTTTCTGAAAGAAAAAAAATAATCATACAGCAAAACATGAACATAAAGACCGTTCAAAGAATACAAGGAAAGCAGTCTTAATGAGCAACTGATCTTTATAGACAGGTTGGTTTAGTTCAGGTTTTAATAAGAAACAAAAAAGGAAAAATATAGTTAGTTGCTAAAGTCAGTTTCAATGTATTTAAGGCAAAATTTTAGCGGAGTGTTTTCGCTTTGGGGGCAGGATTTGCCCCTCACATCATAGAAAATATTAATATAAAATAACTAATATGGTGAGTACTTACTTGTCATTTTCTTCACCCTCCTGATACTCATCTGCATCAAAGAAATCATCTTCATCTGAGCTTGAGTATGAGAGGACAGGGATGTCCTGCCGAGGGTGGCGTATCATAGAGAGAGGTGCAGAAGACATGGGTGACACAGGGGCAGCCATGGTGGCACTATGCAGGAGAAGGTGGGGGGACATGTGAGCTTCTAGCACCTCTTCAGCTGAGTCTATGCTCGCATCCGGACTACCTGTTCATAAATCAATCAAAACAAGAAGTCGTATGAGATGGTATTATAACAGGCAAGAGACAGAGAAAATATGGAAAAAAGGAAATCTGTGTGGGTTCATGTGTAGGAATTAATTTAATATGTAGGAATATTTTCTTACAAGGTAAGTTATCACTTTCCCTGAATGTGTATCATTAGTGTCTGTGACATACCATAAATCTCAGTGTATAAGACACATTTTTTTGCCGCCAAAAACAATGAAAAGTCGGGGGTGCGTCTTATACACAGGTACCAAAAAAAAAGTTTCTATTTATGCCCCTCCATCTAGCGCTACGCCTGGCAATGTCTCACAGCTCAGTAATCGGTGTGTTGACTCACCACTCGGAAACTAGAACAACACTCAAATTTGTCTGTCATCTTGGTTTGAAAGTAATCTTTCTGATAGATCTCAATATGTAGTTTATAATAATAATTCCTCAAATTTTTCTTCTATTACACACGGCGTACCACAAGGTTCTATCCTAGGTCGCCTAATGTTTTTTAATGTACATGAATGATCTTACACATTCAACTGCACCTCGCAGTTAAATGAAAGTCCTTCCCGCGTGGGTTTTTTAACACGGACTTGGCTTACTGCCGACAGAGTTGGCAACAAAATAGGGGTGCGTCTTATACACAGAGATTTATGGTATTTTCTGTCATGTGTAGGGTGATTGAGATATGCTTACATCAGTGACTTGAGCTTCATTTGACTGTACATGGGAATACATATACAGTCAATATTGTTGTACGATGACATGGGGGCTAGCTGCATGGTTGAGCGAACACAGGGTTTGCCGGCGTAAATGTGGATGACTTATTGGGTGGATGTCGAGTTGATAAACAATTCTATATGAAATTCTAGAATTAATTTTGCTGTTCATCATTATCATTAATATTTTGACGTAAACAAATTTCTTAAATAGATAGTATAGCCTGTCGATCCGCAGGCTACCACTCTGACTCCTATACACACCTCCGACTAATGAATTCATCACATTATGTATAAGACAACCTTTTTCTTTTCTCAAATTTCCTGTCATATTTAGCAGATTAATTCAAATAAAATATGACAGGAAAGGGCATCACTTTCAATACCGCAACAGGACACAATGCTGTGCAGAGGTACATTGACAATGCCTATTAACTATGTAATTCAGTAGGAAATCTTTCATTGAATAATCCTGTTCAGAAACCAATCTATAAAACTACATAAAACCCTTGGAGGGCTCTAAGCATTCTGATGTAGCCTCTTAGACGTCATTTCGAGCCTCTTAGACGTCATTTCGAGCCACTTTCAGGTCTTACATACTTCTGATGTACAGCAGTGTGCACATGACCCCTGTGGTATCCCTATAATATTACCTTTTTTGTGTTGTGAAGGCACATTGGCAGTGGTAGTATTATCATCATCCAACAACATCTCTGGCTGAAGAAAACCATTGACAGGATTCAATGTATTCTGAGCAGGGTGGATAAATAGAAAAGTAAAAAATTATGTAGAATTGTATACATGGGACCAATGTGATTAACTGTAAATTTGATCATTTATTAGTGGCATCCAGATACAATGTAGTAAATCAGTATGCCAGGTTTCTTTTGGTAGACTGCCACCAAGTTCATTTCATTACGGTATTGTTGGAATACAGTAGGCTTGCGGATGCACCATGTGAGAGAGAGGGAGGATTGAGGAGTCCTGAAAAGGACTCTAGGTAATCTTTCTTGAGGGTGTGTAGTCCTGAAAAGGACTGTTGGTGTAGTCTTAAAAAAGACTGTTGGTTATCTTTCTTAGCTTATAGTTCTAAGGAGTACTATAGCGCTTGGAGAGGATGGGTGGCGGGAGTGGCTCGACGTTTTGATTTTGGTGTTTCAGATTTTTGTATACATGTACAAGGCTGTTCACCAACTTTCTTCATTCATATAGGGTGTCTGAAGTGAATTTTCAGGGTCTTCTAAACTCATAATTTCTTGAACCCATGCATATAGGGACTGTATTAATTTGCTCCATGTTAGACTTAGGGAATTTCGGAAGTGTGGACTTAAATTTTGGGCACCTGTTTGTCCCAGGCGCCTGTTATGTCGAGTCTCCTAAAAGAATGTGTATTCTCTATTGGATTTCAATCAACAGTGAAACTTGATTCCTTTCCACTATGATGGCAGTTCTTTTTCTAACACAACACACAAATTGTATGAAGAAAAATCTCAATAGTTTTGAACAAATTCTTTTGTAGAAATTCTGAAACATTAAAAAAAAGACATAACAAAAATTTCATGTAAACTATATAAACTAGATGGAACTTCGACTGCGCGCAGTCGAAAATGATGCCTCCGTCATAGAGCAATTTTACAAACCAAAACAGAAGAAATTTTTCAAATACAAGTTCAATTGTAATCCACCAACAGGTTCTCAGAATATCCAATTACATGCAATTTCTCCCCTTTGATCTTTGACCTGATGACCCTAAAATGTACTCAGTTCATCGGCTCTGCAAGATGTCCTGAGTTAAATAGTAATCCATCTGTCAGTTCTAATGAGAATGCGTTCACAATCTATTTTTGCATACATAATGAGCCCATGACCTTTGACCTCATGACCCAAGAATCTACTCAGTTTATTGGCTCTGCAAGATACATACATGATCTAAGTTTGGCAGGAATCCATCAATCGGTTCTTGAGATAACGCGATCACAAGCTGTTTTTGCATACATAATGAGCCCTGTGACCTTTGACCTCGTGACCCCAAAATCTAATCAGTTCATCGGCTCTGCAAGATACATACATGACCAAAGTTTGGCAGGAATCCATCAATCGGTTATTCAGATAACGCGATCACGAGCTGTTTTTGCATACATAATGAGCCCTGTGACCTTTGACCCCAAAATCTAATCAGTTCATCGGCTCTGCAAGATACATACATGTACATATACAGGAATTCATCAATCGGTTCTTCAGATAACGCGATCACGAGAACGGGACGTACGGACGGACGGACGGACGGACGGACAACCCGAAAATATAATGCCTACGGCTACTTCGTAACGGAGGCATAAAAAGTGTTGTAGCAGTCACAGCATGCAGTGCACAATCATAAACTGTTAGAATTGCTTCCTGCCCCCAATGCAGCCAGCAACCAAGAAATAAATCTCAAGCTAATTTCACACTGCAGATTAGATTGTAGACAACATTATACACTTTTAACTATAAAATGTTCTTTGCCATTCTGTAAATTCAAATCAATTCAATTCATATAGCAGTCACTAAAACTCTGAGCTCTACACCATGGATCTCTACTATTTTCTTTCCAAAGTCTACATCCATGTACATAAAGGCAAATTCTTTGACGAGTATATGGGCCTACAGTGGAACCTCATAACTACACATGTAACTACTGGGACCATTGGAATAATAATGTTACGATTCGAATACATACAAGTGGGAGCAGAAAAATTCACCTTGTTATGATGATTGAAAGTAGTGTTCTTTTTAAAAAAAAGTAGACTTTTTCCATGTAATTTTCATGAATGTAAAGTAGAGAGAGCTACAGATACACATTCAAATCATTAAATCCTTTCCTTGAAATTGATGACCCCTTAAACATCTCAGGGTGGTCCATAAGGGGTTTAAAGTTAAACATGTATTAAACAGCTACAGGTTTGAAAATCAGCAACAGCTTAATATCCATTCTCAACCAACATTATTCAAGAAATATTAGTCATAAAACTGTGTTTGAAATGCTTCAAAATGTGGCTCAGAGGGCTCTAGGGTTTTTTGATGCACACTAGAGTCATAGAAGAACCCTACAGCCTGTAATTAAGCCCTGGAGCCCGACCACAATGGTCTGTGATTTGTATACATCAGTTTTAAATGTTCAAATTCTACATGTTTGTGGACAACCTTGTCATAGTATAAATTTAAAGAAGTATTTCACTTACTACTTTATGAAAACAACAAACTTCGCTTACATTACAAAGATAAATGTCTACATGCCATGTAAATGAACATCTATACAATGTTCAAGTTAGGATGTCCAGGCCGCACCTCATTTGAGTTTATTTACTGGCCAAATATGGATCTACATTCAAAATGTCAAAGATAGCAAAGAGAGCAACGTTGGACAAATTTGATCTGAGATAAAGAATCAGATATTTATTGACCCACCCCAAACCCTGATCATCGAAATAAGAATTAACTTCATATCCTAAAACTGTCCTAATGTTTATCTATCATTCTGATTTGGTTTTAACAAGACTGAAACTAGCAATTACATAATTGTTTTAAGGATAATGTTCCAAAATAATTAAAACAGATATTTCAACTCTTTTTGTACTTGCAATTATATTGGCAACATTAATGTTCTTTACATGCAGCAGATTATCTACAGTATCTTGGTAAAATATTACAAGTATGCTTTGATAGAGGGTAGTGGGAAAAAAAATGGGAAAGCAGAATTTTAGAGATCTATCATTGGGACAACGATATGCAATATCATTAGCTTAGAAACTTTCACACCTTAAAACTTTTCCAAATCATTCAATAAGAATTGCTAGATTTAAATTTGATAATTTTCGCAAATCTAGACCACTCCAAAATATTTGTGATAGCCCCGCTTATACATACATATCAGTTCCTACTTCCTAGTATAGTCTAAAACTACTTTTTTATATTTTGTTTTAAAATTGTTTTATTCATCATTAATGCATTTATACATGTCTGAGAAGCGATCATTTTCAGCTCGGTTAATTGTTTTAATCTTTGTAGTTTGTACTGTATTAGTATGCACAAGGGCCAATAAATATTGCAGTCTTCAACATTAAGATCTTTGAGTCTGATTTATTTCTTTAAATCATTTCATGTCATATTGGATGCAAAAAAGACATTCACAATAATTCACAATTTAAATGTTATGTTTTTCATAAATGTTGGAATATATAGTAATCTAACTATATGACCAATAGCTGTATATGAGGGTGTAACAGTAATATAAATATTAATTCAGTACTCTTTGCATAGCATTTGAAGGTAGGAAGCAGTAGTCAGTACTTGAACTGTTGAAAAATTTAAAGTATGAAAAAATAGTTTCACAAAATAATGAAGTGTAAAGAATATGATTTGCATGCAGTCAAAATTTAGAGTAACACACCAAACTAAAGTACAGGATTACAAAAATAATAATTTATCTTTTTAATATGTTCAGTTGTGCATATACACTTATACAAACAAAAATTGCTAAATATCATACCAAAGTCAATCTTCATTGCAAATAAATTATACATGTTGTCGCTGTTTTCACGAAGTGACGGTAGTGAACTAAAATTGCATTCACTTTGCGTTACGTTTTTCCTCACTACCGTCACTTCGTGAAAACAAGGACGATGTATATCCAACTACATTTAATACAATTTGCACACTTGAAATGAATCAAAGTTTTGTTACAATTGATTTTGATGTTTTTTGATAGCATGGAGATCTTTATTCACATTTTGAAATTCCCACATTATTACTATTAAGTTTTTAGATTGCTTTGTTGTTCCTGAGTCACATGATCTTAGTGTTTGTATTAGTGCATCATACCATTATCTAATAATTTAGCAACTGAATGCTGTACTAATATATGTTACAATGTATATTGAATATAAAAGGTGCATTAAGTTTGAAATAGCTGATAAATGTAGATGTACTTTGAGATTTGAGGGTGTCATAATAATATGCATGAATGACAGTAGCATACAGGTATATCATTATTTACTTTTATCCAGGGCTCTCCACTAAACATTTCCTGAAAGCTGAGTGAATGTTAGTGTATTTGCCATTTTAGAGGTTGTAGTTAAAGGTAAAGCAAAATTTTGGGAAATTTTGAAAATTGGATGGATAGTAAGTCTTTAAAATGTTGATATATTTGGATGCCCCTGTAGATGTATTATAAGGACTAGAAAATTTAGCCCTTAAAACACCTCTGCTTTCGAGAAATTGGATGATAAAAATTTACCTGTGCTCCCAATAAATTTTAAATATTTCAAATAGCGCCCATGTCAATTTCCAAACAGGAATAGCAAATAAGTTGATTGTAGACAAGAAACATTGTTTTAAAGCTAAATGAATAGCAGTCTGGAGAGGGAGCTATACAACATAAAGAGTTTATGATTAACAATTTCATCCCTTTAGACTCGATTTCAACAGCAACTACAATCATTGAATATTGTAAAATCGCATATATGCTTCCAATATTTGAACCAAATTCATGACCCCATACCAAAACTTTGTATTACCTTTAATTGTTTTAGGGGGCATTTGCACAGGGTTTCTGTTTAATTTTCTAAAGCCAATGAGGCAAAGAGCATACAAACTTTGATTCATTTTTTTGTCTGAAAAGGAAAACCCTTTCTGTCTATTAACACAAAAGAAAATTCCATTCTCAACAACATTTGGATTGCAGTTGTACTTACTTCAGTATTTACTGGAAGAATTGTATACTGTACATAGACAAAACCAAAAAATACTCAGATATATACATATACACAGTAGATTTAGAATAATTAAGTGCTGATTAAAATGGAAACAGGCAAAACATGGCATTGGGTGGCGGACCACTGGCAACACAGGACTATTTGTCATTGAATATTTCAATGGTTTTTTTTAATTTGCAGAGTGTATCAGAGACAATGAGGAGACGGCTACATGTAACATTTTTGCATTGTTCTTAAAAAATAAATGAAAATGTGGATAAATTATGACTCTTCAACCAAATCAAAATTGCAACTATTACTGTTTCCTGTTGCTTAATACCAACTATATTTTGAGGAGTTGAATTTTCTTAAGTACTAAGTAATTGGTTACATGTGTATCCATACAAATTTGATATTACTTGAACATATTGCACTAAATTCCACAAGCTTGTACAGCTACATGTACTGTTGAAATCACTATCGTTAATTCACAACTACAAATCTGTTCATTTTATTTATGAAAATAAAAATGAAAATAAATATCTAAATTTTTGTTTCGAAATATTCTGGTAGAGTTTTTTGACACATTTCAAATGACCTTATAATATAGATATGACTTACCTTTGCTACTTGAAGTAGAACAATTGCCTGCTTCACCGATTCAATCATTGCCTGAAAATAAAAACAAAACAGATATTATTAAACAATAATTTATTAAAAGTGCTATCTTGGTTACATGTGTATCATGACCAACTAAAGCACTTGTATTTGTTTACCCTTTTCACTGGATACAATTACTATTTTGCATTTAACATTCTGCTGGCAGCAAGGAGAGAATTAACTCTCTATAAAGCTATGAGTTAAAGCAGTTCTGGCTTGTAACAGACAATAAAACATGTCAATAATATCACTTCAATGATGAATATCATGTGATTCAAGTACTATCATAATTATGCTATCAATCATTTGTCTGTTAAAAAGTGGACTATTGTGTATCTTTCCTATGGGAACGAACTAAAAAAATAACTGAATACTACAACTGCTTGGCAAATGTTGGCACGCAATTGCAAATCCCAGTGGCATGCTTCTTTACAAAATTAGCACAGTTTATCATAATCTTGCCAATTAGCCGTCCAAGCAGAGATTTTCTGTTTCCTACTAATTACTCCCGATATTTAAAAACTTTTCCTCCTTGAATGAAACTTGCTACATAGATAAAACATAGAGCCTGTAAAGTGTTGTACACTAATTATGATTTATAATAAGAGTCTTCTTGAGGCTGGATTTTGTAGAACTCAACTAAGAACAACTTGTTCTATTTATTAGATGTATGCGAAGCCGCATTACAATCTGCGGTAGCAATAATCATGGGCATATGATATAGGTCATTTGTTGAACATATATACATGTAGATATAAAATGATATCATATCACAATCCCTCTTCTCAATGAAAACTTAATTTCATATTTAGATCCATACTGTTTAAATATATTTTTTAAATTCTTTGCTTAAGAACATTAAACTTGTGCTAATATGAACTTACAAATTCTTCCCTTTCTTCGTTTGTTTTGTTTGTTTTTGTTTGTTTTTTTGTTTAACCAAAAAACACAATTAGAAAATTCTATCACATTTGTTTTTCATTTGAATGCGAATCGTTTGCTTATTTATCTAAAATGTTTTGATCAGACTTCAGTTATCATCTTGCTTTATAATGCAATAAACTTAATTAATAAACAAAACATGACATATTCAATGGCCCGTATTCTGAAGTCGTGTCTAACTTAGCCACGTCTAAAGTTAAACAACTGTTTAATTAGACACGACTTAGACAGGACTTAGACGCGAGGTCGTGTCTAAGTCCTGTTTAACTAAATTTTGTATTCTGAAGTCGTGTCTAAGTCTCGTCTAACTAAACAACTGTTTAAGTCCTGTCTAAGTGGTGTTTAACTAAACAACTGTTTAAGTTCTGCGCAAGTCGTGTTTAACTCTTAGTCACGACTTCTGGGCATGCCCAGTAGGCGTTAATTCTGACGAAAGACCCAATGCGCATGCGTGCGCGCACCGGATAAATAAATTAACGCGCACAGCTAGCTGTGCGCGTGCTGGTACCATGGTGATGTGATCGTGACGTAATGACTAGACTGCATGTACTTTGTGTACGTACGTACGTACGTAATACACGTACTGTACACTGAGATTGACAAACACACTACTTATCGGTGCCTCAGTGCTCGGAAGAACCACAAAAGAAACTTCTCCAACAGAATGGTTAGTTTATTATAGATTATGGAATTTCCAAGATGTCACCAGTAGATAAGAATAGTTAATATTATCGAGAAAAAAAAATAGGCTACACGAGAAAAAATCCTGCAAAACGTATTTGAAATTTTGGAGAATGCACGTACCATCGTTCTCCCCCGCAAGTTCGGGGTCAGCAAGTACAGTGTACCGTCGACGTTGAAAAGCAGCAGAATCGCGCCCTTAAACAGGACTTAAACAACCCCTCGCAGTTGTCTAAAGTTAAACAGGACTTAGACAGGACTTCGTGTTTAACTTTATTTAAACACGACTTCAGAATACCAAAAAAGTTAGACACGACTTCGTGTCTAAAGTTAGACGGGACTTAGACAAGACTTAGACAACTGTTTAGTTAAACAGGAGTTAGACACGACTTCAGAATACGGGCCAATATGCCTCTTTAAATCTAACTACTCAAAACCTTGTAAAAATTGTTAAAGAAAGCAAAAGACAAAATTATTTGACTTATCTCCAACCATATCAATATCTTACACATTGTATCTCTCTGGTTTCTTTATAGTACGACCTGATCTGGTGGTGTATGGTTGGTGGTGATTCGATGGTGTGTCTGGTTTGCTTTGTGTTTGTTCTGTTTGTGCATTCTGCTGGTCGTGTACATCATTGTGTCTATCACTATATGCATGTTGACGGTTTTGTACCATGCTGTCCCTCTCTTGGGTTGGTTTGATGTGCCTACGATTTCGTCGTAGAGTGTGACCTGATGATGTCTCTACCTCATATGACCTTGGTTCTGGTCTCCTGTTTGTGATCTTTCCTCTGTCCCATCTACCAGTCTCCTGATTCTGGATTCCGACTTCTTGTCCTTTGTGTAGTGGGGGAAGGTTGGAAGCGTGCTTGTCGTCAAAGTATTTCTTCTGGTCATCCTGCCTGGTCTACAGTCTCTGGTAGATGTCATCCTTTTGGGGTGACTGGTTCCGAATTCTGGTCGGTATGTTGGTTTGGATCTTCCTCCCCAGTAACAGCTCTGCTGGAGATGGTAGATGGCTGTCCAATGAAGTGGCTCTCAGGCATTGCAATGCCTTGTTGATGCCTATGTTATCTCTCTTAGCTTTCTTCATGGTGTTCTTGACAGTTTGTACTTGCCTCTCTATAAATCCATTGGATTGTGGATATCTCGGGCTGGAGGTTACATGTTGGAAATTCCAGTCTCTGGCAAACTCTACGAATATGGCACTATTGTATCGAGGTCCATTGTCGCTCATTAGTCTCTCGGGGGTTCCTTGTTCAGAGAAGATTTCCTTAAGCAGTCTGATGACAGCACTACTTGTTGCTTGCTGTGGTAACTGCTTTACAATTGGATACTTTGAGTATACGTCAGCAACAAGAAAGTACTCTCTTCCATCAAGTGTAAAGAGGTCAGTTGTGACAAATTGCCAAGGTCTGATAGGAATTTCATGTGGCTGCAGAGTCTCTGATGGCAGGGAGTTCCCATATTCTTGACATACAGAACATTTCTGTACCATCATCTCGATCTCCTGATTTATGCCATTCCAGAAGATACAGCTCTTTGCTCTCAGTTGGCATTTGATGATGCCATGATGTCCCTCATGTAGCTTGTTCAGGTATTCCTTTGTCAGGCATTTGGGGATGACAATTCTTGAACCTTTCAGGATAATCCCGTCTTCAATGGACATCTCGTCCCTGTATGGCCAATATTTGATCAGGCTTTTGTCAAGTTTACGCCTTTCTTCTGGCCATCCCTCTAGGATTACATCTCTCAGGATGCAAAGTTCACAGTCCTCTGATGTTGCGGTGCGGATCTCCTGTAGCTTCTTGTCTGAGAACATTACAAAGTCAACTTTCATGTGCATTTCAGGAGACTCAGGAGGCAGAGGATTGAGTCTCGACATGCCATCAGACAAAAGCATCTCCTTTCCAGGTTTATATTTTACTGTCATGTCATACCCTTGGAGTCTGAGTAGTAGTCTTTGTAGTCTTGGGGGTGCAGCTCCAAGGTTCTTGAGAGTGATCATCTCTAGTGGTTTGTGATCTGAAAGGATAGTAAAACTTCTGCCGAAGACGAACGTGTGAAACTTTTCACATGCGTAGACAACTGCCAGCATCTCCCTCTCAATGTTGGCGTATCGCTGCTCGGTGTCCGTGAGGGACTTTGAGGCAAATGCTATTGGTCTTCCTTCCTGTGTGAGGGCTGCTCCAACGCCTTTCATCGATGCATCTACTTCTAGGACAACAGGTTTCTTTGGATCAAAGTAAGCAAGTGTGGTCTCCTTGCAGATCATATCTTTGATGGTCTCAAAAACCTTCTGATGTGATTCAGTCCAGCTATATATCACATCTTTCTTCACAAGTTCCCGAAGTGGTGCAGTCAGTGAGGCAAGTCTTGGAATGAATGGTGACATGTAGGTCACAATGCCTAGGAACTCTCGGAGTTCTGTCACGTTCTGTGGTGCGTTCAGGGCTGATATGGCTGCTGTCTTCTGTGGGTCTGGTTGTACTCCATCTTTGCTGAAGACAAGGCCGTAGAATCTCACTCGGTCTTGCTTGATGTGGCATTTGTTCCAGTTCAGGACGAGTCCATGCTCCTTTGCGACGCGCATCAGGTTGTGTAAGTTGGCGTCATGTTCCACTGCCGTCTTTCCTACGACTGCTATGTCATCAGCCATTCCTATGACTCCAGGACATTTCTCTAGTATTTGGTTCATTCGTTGCTGGAACACGTCCTGAGAAACACACAAGCCAAAAGGTAGTCTTTTGAAACGGTAACGACCAAAGGGACTATTGAAGGTCGTCAAATGGCTTGATTCTTCATCTAGCTGTATAGCCCAATATCCATGTCTGGCATCCAGGGTACTGAACACTGTTGCTCCTTCAAACTGGTGCCGGACTTCTTCAATGGTTGGCATCGGCATATGGCTTCTCTTGATTACCTTATTCAAGTCTTTTGGGTCAAGGCAAATTCTCCATCTTCCATTGGGCTTCTGGGTGTATGCCAAGCTTGATACCCAGTCTGTTGGCTTAGTGACACTTTCTATCACTTCAAGACTCTCCATCTCATCAAGTTCTTTCTTGATGTCATCCTTTATGCCTATCGGGCATCGTCGAACTGCATGTATTACAGGAGCCGCATCTTTGTCGATCACGATGTGGTATTTCCCATCAAATTTTCCGATTCCATCAAATCTATCGGGATACAAAGTCTTCAAATGCTCTCTATCTTTGATGGGACTATCATGGCTCTCCATCAGACTGCAATTCAAGACTACTAATCCAAGATCCAGGCACAACTCAAGTCCAAGGATGGCCGGTCTTTGAGTCTTCACCACAAAGAATTCTGCATTTGCTTGTCTGTCCTGGTGGTTACAGCTCAGCGTATGTAGGCCTACTTGTGGAATAAAACTCTTTTCACCATAGCCTGTTATCGTTATCGGTGACTTTCTTAGCTTTCCTGTGATAGGTTCCCCATTAGAGTCCACGCGATCAGGGTACATCTTCTGATAAATGCGTAATGGAAGAATGTTCCCTTCAGATCCTGTGTCAACTTTGGCTTTTAGAGTCGCTGGTCCACTTCCGATCTCAACTCCGATCACAGCGAAGGCTTCGTTCTTTCTGATCTGGTCTACACAGAGGGTCTCAAACCCCATGTCGTCAGTTTCTTCTGTTTCTTCCTCTTCTTTCATCTCATGGAGTCTCTTTGATCTCTGTGCTTGCGACCTTTTCGGATATGTCTTTGTAGCTTCTTGTTTCCTTTGCCACTGCTGTTTAGATTCTTGTTCCTGTTTCTTCAGTCGGCAGCATTTCTCCCAGTGATTCATTTTATCACAGTTTCTGCATTTGGTGCCATAAGCAGGGCACTTCCTCGGTGGATGGTTCAATCCACAGAATGAGCACTGTTTCTTCCTTTGGATATGTTGCTTCATCATATCAACGTTGACGGCTTGACCATGAAGGAGTCTCATATCCGCCTCAGTTGCCTCCTGGGTTCTGGCGATGTCCAAAGCTGTATTTAACGTCAGTTTCTCATCCTTGGCCAACAATGTTTGCTGTACCTTCTTGCTTGAGGTGCCAATGACGATCTGTTCTATGAGGCGACCTTCAAGTTCAATGTCCGCAAACTTGCATTTTTGTGCTTGTATTTTGCATCTGGCCATGAAGTCGTCTATGGCTTCGACTGGTTCCTGTGCCAACTTCTGCAGCTGAAATCTTGCCAGATGGAAATTGGTCTTTGGTTCGAAATGTTTTATGAAAGCTTCGAAGACCTCAGCTGGGGTCTTGAAGTCCTTTCCCCAGGATTTGTGAATCCTGATACCCTCTTGACCCAGCCACAACAGATGTATGTACATTTCTCTTGGTCAGACTTCTTGTTAAGCGGCCCTGAAAATATCAACTCACAATAGTATTGAAAATTTCTAAATTCAGTCGGCAAATCTTTGGATGCCCAATCCATGCAGGGAGGGTTGATTCCTGTCATCTCTCCCATGTTGTTTGTTTGTGTGTGTGACTTTGTTAAACAGCCAATAAAATCTAATATGGCCTAGAAGTCTAAGTCACATAAAAAAAAAAACTACTACTAGTACTACTAGATTCAGCCTTATACATAAAGGAGTAAGGTCATATAGTGTGCCTTATCCTAATATACAAATAGGAGTAGGGTTACATTAAAATTCACACCCTATCCTGTGTTATCAATACTGCAATGAGACAAAATATCTATGGCATTCGTTATACTGCATCGCAAAAAACATCATCAATAATACAATTCTAAAGCAATTTATTCCTTTGCCAGTCCAACTCTTCCATAAACTGAGTCTCTATTAAATATAAGCAGGTCCTTCAATACTATCCATGGATTTACTCGCATTAAATGATCTTGGTGAGGTTGGTGATTAATCAACTACCGTAGACCTATTCTATTCAAACATGTGCAAATAATGAATTCAGCAAAGCGTCCATTATTTCAAAAATGTTGAATCTTGATTAAAATCTAGTGTCTCTCAGTTCAAGTTCATATCTTATTCCACGGAGATCTGTATTCCCAGGTTTCACTCTCATATAGGTCTATGTAGGTGTCAAGTTGTCCAGCTCCAGCGACGTCGTCGATCCTCCCGATGAGCTCCGAGTCCGTGTGGCTCAGTTCCAAACCAAAATGCAGGGCTGGGAGTATAGCGCCCTAGCTGTACTGTACTGTTCCCGGTCCCGGTCGAGCCTCTAGGCTCTGCTCCTGACGAGCCTCTAGGCTCTGGTTCTGCCTCCGCATCAGTTCTGGTCCTGAATGTAGGGCAAATAATCACTTCTCGATCAGTGCTGTGCTATCGGACGGTAGGCCTATTATGGTGAAAGTCACTCGGTCTCAGTTCGTATGGGGTTTAAAATCTCATATTTGCGACTCACCAAATAATCAGCGTCATTTTCTGCAGTACTCAAACGTCCCTCAAATATATCGCTGACCTGTTCAGAGCTTCATCTTTCTCAGTTCATAATTCATCTCAGCGGAATATCAGTCCAAATTCGTTGTAGAGGAAAACTAACTTGGTCAAATCGCGAAGTTTCCGTCATTCACAATGTAAACAATCGACTCACGTACTGTTACAGTTCAAAATTCCTCCGCGGTTAGCGCGCGTAATTTCTCGTACGTGCTAGTCAGTTCCATACCGCATATATACACACGAGCCAAAATAGCACAGGGGGTCGATGCGCGTAAACGAAATCCCAACCTAGGCCTGGCCGGTAAACGGTGCTTAAATTGTCCATAAAATCCAAATCCGGGCTCCACATGCTCTCAAAACGGTCTATCAAAGTCCTTGCACCGCTGCCACCATGTAAAGTGTTGTACACTAATTATGATTTATAATAAGAGTCTTCTTGAGGCTGGATTTTGTAGAACTCAACTAAGAACAACTTGTTCTATTTATTAGATGTATGTGAAGCCGCATTACAATCTGCGGTAGCAATAATCATGGGCATATGATATAGGTCATTTGTTGAACATATATACATGTAGATATAAAATGATATCATATCACAAAGCCTACATGGATATGTTTTTTCATCATGCACATTGTATGGCAACCATTCCAATTCATTCTTCAATGGTTAGAACTGCACATGCTATGGTCACATTACTCAAAAGTAGCCTGCTCGGCGGCCGGGCGGCGAGTTTTTAACCAATTCTGCCCGGCGGCCGCCCAGCCACCGCTCGTTTTTAGGGCATCGCTCGGTTGCCGCTGAAGTTTTAGCGCGGAGTTAAAATTTGGGCGGCGCCTGCTCACTTTTCACTCGCCGCCCAAAATACGCTCGGTGCCTGGGCGTCGCCGCCCAGCACCGACCTAATTGCTGGGCGACATACCTAAATTCCAGCAGCGACCGAGCAGGCTACTGATCGGTCGGTCGCTGCTCAGATTTGTGACCATAGCTTTAGTCAATGCAACACTTACACAAGTAAGCTTGTTATTCGAAATGTATGATGAATGTTTTCTCACGCTATAGGCTTATTATTTTATAGTATATTATTACCCGTATCAGACATCTGAGCAGTGGTTTTACAAAATCATATTGCACTTGTTGTAATCCTAAAAGAGCTAATCAGTAAATATGACACCATAATACCATCTCATGAAAAAGCCTATGGACTTTACGTGTTAAAAAAGCAGGAAATATATGACCATATTCATTGCGCCGTATTTTGTCATGTTCATTGCACATCTATTATGCGTATGAGAACCTGCGCACTTTGCGCGCACTCTATTGTGACGTTATAAAACCACACCAAATACACACTGTTTGCAGTGTATCGAAAATTTTGTCAAGCACTGGATGCACAGTGCTGGTTTGACAAAGTTTGTTTAGTTCTTTGAGATTGTCATGGTTGATTTATGTATTTGCTCTAGATGTCTGATTTGGATAACAATATTGACTGGCTTAAGTTTCGGGAGATACCACATATATTATTGCCCTCACAAGACCCATATTGCCCTCGTCTTTGACTCGGGGCAATATGAGTCTACTTTGGGAAATATATGTTGTATCTCCCTCAAGGCCAGTCCATATTATATAATTATCCAACATGGTCATTTAAAAAGGAAGGTACACTGTAAGATCATTTCCTCAGCTACCCATCGCTGGTGCTATGTCAGGTCACTTTTTTCAACTTGTTTTGTGAATTTATATTCTCTGTAGAGGAGTCATGTTCTAGCGTATAAACTCACCAGACTGTAGATCACAAGGTACTGGGTTCAAATCCCTGTCCTTTCACATAATATTAATCTATATTTGCCATTCTCCACCCAGGTGAAGTACTGTAAGAGGGTATCCAGTACAATGAAATTTCTTGAATACTAAAGCACTTCATTATGGTAGCTCAGCAAAAGCTATGGAAATAACTTCCTTTTTAAAAGTGCAGTAGTGTATGTTTCTCTAGTATAGCTGTACTTCATAAATGGACATACCGTTACTACATTCAAACCTGCTTTAGCAACCACCTGTATTGCATTTGTAGTTATGTATGTTCCTCATTGAAATGTGTATCAAGGTAAATCTGTCTTCAAAGACCATCTGCCTAGCTATGACTATTTGTTTGTGTCTCCCATGGGCAGTGTTTCTATGCAGGTTTGACTGTATTATGGTTGTTGTTAGTGTTACTATTCATACCTTCCCATTTTCTTGTAGCTTTTCATGGTGTGTCCTTTCTTGAGCATTCTGCATCTTATTGATTCGGTCCTCTAGGCTCTCCACCTGTGTGATCAGGATCTGGAGGTAGGCGTCTGCCTCAAAGAGTTTCCGTTCAAAGTCTCGAACGGAGGGGGTGGTGCGGGGGAGGGGCAATCCGTACTGTGATTGATGAGAGAGAAAAAGAGAGAGAGAGAGAGAGAGAGAGAGCACAATAGCAATGTTAGGTCATGGTGAATACAAATGGAGAGAATTAGTCATCATCCCCCCCCCCCCAAAAAAAAAGACCTCCCCCCCCTCCCAACAACAACAACAACAAAAAGGAAAGATGATAAAAAGATAGAATCAAAGATGACACAAGGAAATGTATAAAGAGATATAAAAAATTTAAAAAAAAAAAAAGAGAATATAAAGAATGATGAAAGCAAATAAATACAGGGAAAAAGAAAAAAAGAGAGAAAGACAGTAAACGAAAAAAAAGAAAAAAATTAGCAAAAGAAAAAGGAAGTAGTATCAGGAAATTTCAAAATGAAAGATGAAAGGACTCGAACAAATGACATGGAAAGAAAGGAAGATGAGATAAAAGATGAAAGGACTCAAACAAATGACATAGAAAGAAAGCAAGATGAGATAAAAGATGAAAGGACTCAAACAAATGACATAGAAAGAAAGCAAGATGAGATAAAAGATGAAAGGACTCGAACAAATGACATAGAAAGAAAGCAAGATGAGATAAAAGATGAAAGGACTCAAACAAATGACAGTGAAAGAAAGCAAGATGAGATAAAAGATGAAAGGACTCGAACAAATGACATGGAAAGAAAGCAAGATGAGATAAAAGATGAAAGGACTCGAACAAATGACATGGAAAGAAAGGAAGATGAGATAAAAGATCGAAAGGACTCGAACAAATGACATGGAAAGAAAGGAAGATGAGATAAAAGATGAAAGGACTCAAACAAATGACATGGAAAGAAAGCAAGATGAGATAAAAGATGAAAAGACTCGAACAAATGACATAAAAAGAAAGCAAGATGAGATAAAAGATGAAAGGACTCGAACAAATGACATAGAAAGAAAGCAAGATGAGATAAAAGATGAAAGGACTCAAACAAATGACATGGAAAGAAAGCAAGATGAGATAAAAGATGAAAGGACTCGAACAAATGACATGGAAAGAAAGGAAGATGAGATAAAAGATCGAAAGGACTCGAACAAATGACATAGAAAGAAAGCAAGATGAGATAAAAGATGAAAGGACTCGAACAAATGACATAGAAAGAAAGCAAGATGAGATAAAAGATGAAAGGACTCAAACAAATGACATGGAAAGAAAGGAAGATGAGATAAAAGATCGAAAGGACTCGAACAAATGACATGGAAAGAAAGGAAGATGAGATAAAAGATCGAAAGGACTCGAACAAATGACATAGAAAGAAAGCAAGATGAGATAAAAGATGAAAGGACTCAAACAAATGACATGGAAAGAAAGGAAGATGAGATAAAAGATGAAAGGACTCGAACAAATGACATAGAAAGAAAGCAAGATGAGATAAAAGATGAAAGGACTCGAACAAATGACATAGAAAGAAAGGAAGATGAGATAAAAGATCGAAAGGACTCGAACAAATGACATGGAAAGAAAGGAAGATGAGATAAAAGATCGAAAGGACTCGAACAAATGACATAGAAAGAAAGCAAGATGAGATAAAAGATGAAAGGACTCAAACAAATGACATAGAAAGAAAGGAAGATGAGATAAAAGATGAAAGGACTCGAACAAATGACATAGAAAGAAAGGAAGATAAGATAAAAGATGAAAGGACTCAAACAAATGACATAGAAAGAAAGCAAGATGAGATAAAAGATGAAAGGACTCGAACAAATGACATAGAAAGAAAGGACGATGAGATAAAAGATGAAAGGACTCGAACAAATGACATAGAAAGAAAGCAAGATGAGATAAAAGATGAAAGGACTCGAACAAATGACATAGAAAGAAAGCAAGATGAGATAAAAGATGAAAGGACTCAAACAAATGACATGGAAAGAAAGGAAGATGAGATAAAAGATCGAAAGGACTCGAACAAATGACATGGAAAGAAAGGAAGATGAGATAAAAGATCGAAAGGACTCGAACAAATGACATAGAAAGAAAGCAAGATGAGATAAAAGATGAAAGGACTCAAACAAATGACATGGAAAGAAAGGAAGATGAGATAAAAGATGAAAGGACTCGAACAAATGACATAGAAAGAAAGCAAGATGAGATAAAAGATGAAAGGACTCGAACAAATGACATAGAAAGAAAGCAAGATGAGATAAAAGATGAAAGGACTCAAACAAATGACATGGAAAGAAAGCAAGATGAGATAAAAGATGAAAGGACTCAAACAAATGACATGGAAAGAAAGCAAGATGAGATAAAAGATGAAAGGACTCAAACAAATGACATGGAAAGAAAGCAAGATGAGATAAAAGATGAAAGGACTCAAACAAATGACATAGAAAGAAAGGAAGATGAGATAAAAGATGAGATAAAAGAAGAGGATGAAGAAAAACAAAGGTAATGGCAGAAGAGAAGATGGTAGAATGATAAAAAAAAAGAATAGCATATGTGTAAAGATACAAACAAACAAAAAATACACAAAGAAATACATACAATACATAAGAGATGAAAGGAAAAAAATAACATAAAAATGATAAAAGAAAAGTTAAATGGGCTAAAAACAAAGAATAACATAAGAAAAGACACAAATAATAAAATAAAGAAATGCATAGGGAATGACAGAAGAAAAGATGAAAAGAGGGATGGGGAAGAGTTGTACTGAAAAGTATTCGAAGATTTTTTTGTAAAGGATAAAACTCAATATGGGCTTTGAATGTGTTTGCATCACTGATAGTAATGGGCCTAGGTTTAAACTAGTCTTTCAACTTAAAGCAAATGCACATAAAGCCTCGGTCACAAATGCCATTACGAACTGCTACGAACACCGCACAAACGATTTTCAGACATGGAAATTCGGGACGACAATGGAAAAACAGGGAGATTTGTACGAAATCATCATTCATACGAACCTTTGTGACTGCAGCATAACTGAAAGGCCAAAAAGGGTCTTGGATTTACAACAAAATAGATGATTGTAGCACAAAACTGTGCAAAAGTTAGGGGAAAATCAGCTTTTAAGAAGATATTTCAACAACAACACAGAACACACAAGTCTATGGTAGTGATTTAAATAACCGTATTTTTTATTAATCAAGGCAATTTGAATTGAGCCAACTTTGCTAACAGGGCCTAATCCCACCTAAATAATACAAAAAAATATAGTTGTACATTTTGTGATTTATTAACTCTCAAAAAATTACATTTGATGGAGATTAATTACTATACAAGTGCACATGTACATACTACATACATGTAGATACAAATTTTACCCAGAAAACAAAGAAACACAACAGGTGATATTTTTTTTTTATAAGACAGTTACAATACACATATGATACATTTGTCCAATATGATTTCAAGCACTTGAAATAGATTTACTATGTGCAATTACATTATTATGATTTTTAAACAAAAAAATAAAACAAAAATCCCCCCCCCCCCCCTCGCCACAAATCAAAATGAACTTCCAAAGTGACCTTTAGAGGAGGGTCTTACATGTACATTGATCTTAAATATTGTCATAAGCATCAGAATCTATCTGGGGCTAGGTATCTAGACTATAAAGATCCATGAATTTTTATTCATAATTTATTGATCCTTCACATCATTACATGTACTGTAGGTACCATGTTACTGGTACAGTCAAACCTGCTTTAGTGACCACCTGTCTACAAAGACCACCTGTCTTCAAAGTCCACAATTGTTGTTTCCCTTGAAAATGGTTTCTCATTGAATCATGTACTAAAGGAACCTGTCTACAAAGACCACCTGTCTACAAAGGCCACTTTTTGTGTTTCCCTTGGGCGGTCACTATAGACAGGTTTGACTGTATTAGCAGACAGGCTAGAATGAGTGACATATACATTATGTGGAATGAATATGTGAGTCAGTGTATACAGATGCATACTGACATAATGTCAAAGCAAATATTGGCATTAGCTTTTAGCATCAATCTAAGTGTACATAGTCTACTACATACATGTACATGTTGCTTTACATCTAGCTCTACAATTTGCAATCCAGATTGATTGCAAAGTCTTCCAACCAATCACACTGACAAACTTTCATCTCATTTAAAATTGACTTAAAGTTGCAATCATATCAAATCAACCACAACTATGTACATAGTGTACACAACTGTGCCTGTATGGCCGTAAAAGTAATCTTTGTGGTTCAAGAAACTCCACATAATATTCAACAAAAACTTTTCAATAAATTACTAAATGTAGAAATGAATAACATCTGCCACACAGAATCAAAATCACAATTACAAATACTGACTGGCTCATCATATTTCCTGAGGTGAAGTCTTGGAGACATGGGAAATGTATTGTATATCTATATAAGTAATTCACTTAATCGCCGTGGGGGGGGGGGCATTAATATTATTTTCAGTGTAGAACTAAATTAACTTAGCAATGTGTGAAAATAGCACATGTGAGAATGGGAGTGAAAGGAAAACAGTATTGGTAGATGAGTGAGGATGGGAAAAGGATAGTGAGCTAGAATAATTAAGGATAGGAACGAAGTGACGATAATAACAGATGTATAAGTTGTGTGTTTATTATAAGTTTTGGTAAATAATTGTTAAGTCAGAATATGGTGCGCTTAGAGACACCAGTATTAAGCGCCTTATAAATATTGTTTATTATTATTATTATCATTATTATTGATAATAATCATAAATAACGAAAGTGAAAACGAAAATAAAGTGTTCCATATCTGCATCAATTTTATTTACAAATTACTGACTTCACTTTTTTCTTCCAATTTTCAAGTTTCATTACATGGTACAGATACATGAAAAGGCAAACAAAGGTTGATATTCTAACAACTAAAATATCAATAAACAGAGTAAAAAAAGAATAAAAGGATAAAAAGTAGGCCTATACAAAGAAGAGAAATAACATTAAAAATACATGTAAAAGGAGAAAAAAAGAAAAGAAACAAAAATTATGTCTCAAGAAAGAAAAAAATGTTGAAAATATATCAT